GCACTGCCAACGATCTAAAATGGTTTTTATATAGCTTTCTACGTGTTTATCAACTTACTCGTACGGAGCAACCATGTTGTGACAAATGGCGGGCAATGGGTGACATGAGTTCAGTAAAACAAATCTGCTTGAAATTGACCAATATTAATCTGCATTCAGTTGAATTCATATCTGGTATTACTTGCAATAAAAATGATGTCAAAATCATAAAAATTAATCACTCATTTTAAATTAATACACAATTTGAACATAAAACAAGATACGATGCCGCACACAACAAAGTTATATGGAGGAATTGACTTCAAGCTTTATTTTTTCCCAAATATTTGTAATTTATCCGACATATACTTGGGTTCTTGTGTTAATGCGAAGATAATATTTCTATATTTCTTTATGTGCTCCATTGAACGACTAACTATCAGAATGTGTTCACTAACTGATGTCAGTGGAGAGCAACCATGTAATTTCACTATAAATCAAATTCATGTAATTTAAATAACACTTATCCATGCCTGTAAAACTGGTGTGTCCTACATGGATAGGAAAATATATATTATATTTCCAGTTAGTCTTATAAATAATGAATGTACAGTACAAGCTTCTACTTTGATTCGCATACCTAGCTCATAAGCATCATGCCTACATGTCGTATACATCTAGGCCTGATACGGTGTGTGATGAATTCTATGAAACACGATAATGTCATGATTAAAGCAAGAAGAACAGGTCAAGCAGGATGAAGTGGAATCACCAAGGTCTAATAATAATCTACATAAATTCTACAAACAGAACTTATAATGCAGAATATAACTCTCAGCGTGTCACAATATTGCATCTGATTTCCTCATAATATAAATTAACCACAGTATTTAATCCACATTTACGGTATAAAGTCAAAAATATTCGAAGTGCAAAATGAGAACAATAAATATAATAAAAACAGTGAGTTTGTTTCAAACAGTATGGTCGATGCAGTCTGGAAATTTTAGCATGTTAAAGATTATTGAATCTAATTTTCTGCTGATGTAGCATAGTGAGGGGAAAGGCAAAAAATAAGTTATTACATAGCTTAAATGATGTTTACACCTATGAGAAAATAGACAGAGTATTGAGAGGATAATAGATATATTAAAATATTAACAGTAAAGCTTGATGGGATGAGGATGGAGAAAATGGTTCGATCACCAGTGCAAAGAAGGTTAGTTAGTTCGTCTCTGACACCATTTTCATCGCATAAAATAAGTGCCAAATGTGGTATCATTGATGTTTTATACTAAGACGTGCACGGATACGGTCTTTTGAAATGGCTTCTTGTTTAACTGAGGAGATGCAAGGTGAAAGCTGCAGGTAAATTGGATGCTCACAGTCTACCGAAACCAAGTGCCCATCGTTAATGACGATTGTAACGATATGACCGTAGCTCCGACTGCAGCGCAGATGACTTCCTAATCGAGAAGCTAGCCTCCTGGATATCAAATTGTCGAAGTCTCGTAGTCAGCGACTTCAACGCCCCAACAGTTGACTGGACAGGCCTTACAACGCCATCTCTAGACAACACCTTTGATCAATAACTGCTGGAACATATTATTTTGCTAGTCCTAGTCCAACATGTCATGGAGCCCATGCGCTATGACTCCCAACAATCCTCTTCAACTTTGGAGCCGGTGTTCTCCCATGGTGAGGATGTGGATCTCATACAAAAGCTTCTTCCTTCAGGAAGAAGTGATCGCGCTGTGCTCACTTTCAAGTTCACAGCAACAGCGGCAAGGGCCAAAACCCCAGCACGACCTAACGTCTGGAAAACCGATATAAATCCGATCCTCTCAGCAGCCAACTCACTGGACTGGTACGTCAACCCAGAGTCCCAAGTGGAGATTCGTAAGTTATCCAGGCGCAAACACAAATGTTGAAACCTGTTGGCCACACTTGGGACTCCTGAGGCCAGGGAACTACACAACACCTCTGGGAACAAGGCTATTGCAGAAATCCGCCAATCAAGAATGAAGTTCGAAACCCATCTGGTTCAAAATGCAGAGGTACAACCTAAAAAATCTTCTCGTGCATGAACTTCAGGAGTAAAATGTCCAATGGTGTCCGAAATCTGGCTATGGACAGTGACACAATGGAAGATCACGAAACAGCAGAAGCAATGGCAGAATAATTCTCCCAGGTCTTTACAAAAGAGTCGCTACTCCCCATAGGATCAGCCCTGGCTGCATCAGAGAAATACTGGATAGATTCCGTTGACATTGACCAAGGCATCGTGCTCAACTGCCTAATGAAAATAGATGCGGGGAAATCAATGGGTGCTGATAATCTTCATCCAAGGCTTCTCAAGGAGCTATCAGATCACATGGCCGACCCATTGACCACGATCTTCAAGCTGTCTCCGAAATGGAGTGTTACCGCGTGATTGGAAAGACGCCATAGTAACCCTCATCCATAAAAGAGAATCAAGATAAAGCCCATCAAATTACAGGCCTATTAGTCTCACCAGCACTTTAATCATGACACTGGAAAGAATCACCAAGAGAAGTATCATGGCACATCTGGAAAACAACAATTTGTTATCCAGAGCACAACATGACTTCCGACGAGACCTCTCATGCCTGTCAAATCTCCTCACTGCAAGAGAACGTTGGGTCAAACCAAGGGACAACAGAAGACCCGTTGACGTGGTCTTCATGGACTGCATCGAAGCCTTTGATAAAGTTCCTCACAAAAGACTACTCATGAAGTTGGAAAGTCTTGGTATCAAGGGCGGATTGCTAAACTTGCTTAGGGAATTCTTCATAGATAGGAGGCAGAGGATTAGGATCAACTCGAAACTCTCATCCTGTACAGTAGTGCATAGCGGAGTGCCACAAGGCACGGTACTCGGACCTCTCCTATTTATTTGGCATATCAATGAGTTATCTCTGCTCACCGATTCCTCTATAGTCCTATACGCAATGACTTAGAAAATCTGGAGAGAGCTGAAGAGCAACAGCGATGCGCTCACCTTTCAAGAGGACCTCAGCAAATTGTCAGAGTTTTCAAGAGAATGGATGATCCCGATCAATGTAGCAAGATGTGCAACCATGCTCATCGGACAAGCAAGTTTCGGCTCCTACGAACTAGAGGGAATAACACTGCCATAAGTACAGTCTCATTTGGATTTAGGTGCCATAGTTAATCACGATTCAAAAACTGCGCCACATTATCGCGCCGTGGCTGCATGTAGTTTCAGATCCTTATAGGCAATTCTCAGAGCCTTTACCAGGATCACCAGAGATATGTTTACCTCCTTAAGCACATCTCTGGTGCGGTCAAGATTAGAAAACTGAATCGAGGCAGCCAGTCCTTGTCTTAAAGTGGACGCACATATTCCAGAGAGGGTTCAAAGGAAGGCAACACGTATGGTTCTTGGTATGAGTAACTTATCATACGAAGAAAGATTGGATAGTTTAATCTCTCCTCCGTGTGATACCGTAGTTAGAGTGGAGATTTAATCACAGTGTTTTAATCTATAAATAATGACTGCGGACCTGCATTATAGGTAAGATCTTATTTTGATAAATGTCACTGTTACACAGTAGTATTAACTGATAGCTTAACTGATGATGACAAACGATTTCTCATAATCATATGAACAATAGTTTGTGTTTGGAGCGTCATCAGTTAATATTACTGTGTAACAGTGACATTTATCAAAATAAAATCTTATCTATAATGGAGTCATACTCTACAACAGTGCCCAATTTCTATATCAATAAGACTACGGACCTGACCTATTCTCTGTTTTCCTTCCCACCAGGTCGGAACAGCCTAGAGGACATAGCAGAAGAGTTCAAAAGCCAAGAAGAAATCATATTGCTGTTGCGTACTGCTTCCTACACCTTGTCATAAACTCCTGGAACCGACTCCCAGAAGAATTGGTGTCCATGAAGGGTTTAGACAATCACAGAAATTTACCAGAAAAGGATTAACATAGGCTCCATGCATTCTATCCTCGAAAACGATAAATCTGAAATCTGATACAGATCATTGATACAATTTTCACCTAGAAAAAGAAAAATCTTATTGACTGTGCTCTAGGTCTTCCGATACAGTTTGAAGTAGAGTCTACTTGACTACTTGACCTATTTAAATATGATTGGTCATTAGTATGTACTTTTGTTTTTATTTAACTGAGTAATTGTCATGAACTTTATTTTACTATTGTTAACCATGTTAGTTGTAAAGCGGTTGTAAAGAAACTACGAAATGATATCATCTCGCGAAATTTGTCTTCTAAATGCCTTATTCAAATTTATCAAAGGGACTAATTGTTTTAATAATATCTACCAATCACAGCGTGCATAAGTGACCTTCAAGTGCTCGGCTTCCCCGTAAGACGTTTGTGCCGCTATCCTCAGTGGTGGAGACAACATAAATATATGATGATGGCATGCTAGTGAGAGAAAGGCTGCGAGTTTGTGGGCTTTCAGAAGTCCGCCTAACTAGAATTTGTTTTTTACTTGGTGAATGAATCAGAAGAGTGCCATATATGGCACTATAGTTCTGAAAGCTAAAGGCGTAATACCTCCCAGTGAGAGAATGCACCTGGGTAATGCGGACAAAACGTGGGCTAAATGGGTCATTTTGATCGGCAAAGACGTGAGCAAAAGGGGTTAAAATCCTACATTAACCCACTTTACCCACATTGGCCACTTTTTACCCGTTTGCCATGTCCCAAAAAATTTTATTGTCCCAGTTTACTCATTTTTCAACGAACACTACCCATGTTGATTCCGAAAACAGCTCATTTTTTCCAACTTTGCCTAATTTCGTTCGGAAAACTGCCGACGTTTTAACCCAGATATCTCAGGTCCAAAGAAAAATAAATGACAATCTGTTATTAATTTATTTTGACCAGTGTGTAGTATCGAGTATCCCGTATCAAACTAGATTGATTTAATATAATTATTTCATCTTTTACAGATACTTGACGAGTTTGTTATACAATTATTGTCATCAGGATGTCGGTAAGTGATTGTGATTTTAGATGCATGAATTTCGTCACACTTCTTTCCAATATCCAATATCGTTTTTACGAGCTAGTATAAACTAATTTGATTTCTTTGTGCTCGCCTCTTGATTGTGAGGTATAGGTTCCTGATCTTCGGTAAACTTCTGCGTAACTCGTCCCGCCACTCGACTGTCGTAGCTTTGGTTGACTCCAAAAGGAGTAGTGCTGGGATTAATTAAATGTGGTTTGTAGTATGAGGTGTGTTAAGACTGTTACTACTGTGAATGGAGTTGATCCTTTCACCAGTTAGTCCTCCGGTATCGTCGTCAAGAAAAAAGAGATAATAATAATAGATATAATTAGTGAAGTTATTCAGGCTAACAGACAGAAAAAGAATAAGAAAATGTGACAACAGTCAGCTGATTAAATTTGAAGAATAATATGAATAATATATATATATTTATATACATATATATATCGGTAATAATGATAATAATAATAATAGGTGCAGTTAAAGTTGTCAGGAGAGTAAGGCGAGAGAGAATGTAAACAAGTCAAACGACGAATTTAGTTGTCTACCCCTGAATGGTGTATGCGATTTTAAGTGGATAGGCCACTCGGATGCCAATTAACTTATTAGCGTTAGCTTGATTTGACTCTATTCTGATGGAATTTCAGTTAAAGTGATGAATAATGACGTTACCGGGGATACTGACTTTCTCAAAAAGTTTCAGAAGATGCGCAGGGATAAACCGGGATTGTAATTGAGCACTTATACAGTAAATGCATTATATTGTTTATCCAGTGTGGCTAGTTTGGTGGAAATCTGGGGGATAAGTATTCAGATACGTTGTTTATACACTGATGCTATTGACCTGGTGTTCTATGACTCCTCCTCTCGTTAGTTTGTGTATTCAAGTGAAGTCAGATTCAGATTATACGGATGGAGGGCTCTCGTATGCACTATTCTAAATGCGGTCTGACATGTGTTGCATAAAGTACTTGGGACATACACTCGTCCAGTGGTTTTAAAGCCCTTCTGAGTGCTCATAGCATTCGAAAAGCCTTAGCAGCGGCTCCATTACAGTTTGCCGTTGTCTTTATGTCGTGGCTTACAATAATTCCTGAGTCGTTTTGTTCCTTAACATCTGGCAGTTCTTTCCCACAAGGAGTACGACGCGTAAGACCTCTGACCTAGTTGCATTATCGCGCTTTTCTTGGAATTGATTTCCAGACTCCAAAGGTTAGCCCATTCAGCTAACTTATCTAGATTGTTTTGTAGTACCAACCTTTCATCGTTACTGTTTACGGCTTTACATATCTTAATATCGTCCGAAAATAATAAGGAAGATGAGGTAAGAATTTTCGGCAGTTCATCTGCGTATAATAAGAATAGCAGGGGGCCAAGTACAATTCCCTAAGGTACTCCACTCAGTACTGCTTTCGACCCTGACAGTACACCGTCAACATCGAGACTGTTTTGTACCATGAATATAGGCAGACTGTTTTATCAAACAGACAATCTTTACATTACCAGTTGATCGCTATCCGTTAATATTGTCATTCCAGTGGCGACTATGTTTTGTATATCCACCAGTTATCAAGTCTTCAGAAGATTAGCGTTCACTTATATTTTACAACTTTTCTCTTAAACGACAGTAGCACAAGTGCAAATAATCGACAGACGAGGTGGAAATCTTTTGCTGTAACTGGAGAGTTTCTAGTTTACTCACAAATTCCATATGATGTAATCCTCGAGCCTTCATGTGGTTGTGGACTGATTTAGATTAGTTGGTTCAAAATAGTTTAAGAAAGAAAGCTTAAAGTGTGCAAGTATTGAATCATTGATAACATCTCAAAACCGCCTGAGTATAACGGTCGTAACGAGCTGGCATGAAGTTTAGATAGGTTACTTGAAACCGGTAGTACGATACGTAGAGATTTCCGGATATCTCAAGAGAACCACGTGGTTGTCGCGTTGTGAATCATATATTGTCAGTGTAGTAGGACACTCTTTCTTACCTAAAGTCATCGTGCTGAGTTATAGCTTATGAGGTAAGAATTTCTAAACCGTTATCACCTTTTTGATGCCACCAGGAGTGTTTACTACGCCTGTAACCGAAGATATTTATGTTTATTCTGGCTGGCTGGAGTTATGATTGCAGTTTAGCCGGTTGCAGTGTATGACTTATCAATGTACTTCTACTTATTTCATGCTTGTCCACTCGTGTATAGTTTTTCGCATCACAAAAGACAGTTGAAATGAACCTTTTTGAAGGGATTGTTGGAATGGTATTTGTTGTTTTCTTGTTATTATACAATTCCCTTATTTGCGCAACATATATGTGAATTAAATCCGTTTTCACCATTACACAGGACTTGAAAGAAGAGAATCACAAGTTATTATCCAAATTGGACTTGTTAGAAAAAATGGAGAGTGCGTATATTGATGAAATAGAAAGTCTCAATGAACTTATTGCTTGTTTGAAACGTAAAAGTCCAGGAGAATTCCGGAATATTGATGATCGCCAGTCAGAGAAATTAAGCAAGAAAAACCGTCTGGCTGAGAAGCTTAGAGCTGCCGAAAATTTGGAGGCTGACCTGTTAAAACGATTACGTGCTCGTGAAAATAAAGTGGACGAAATTTGTATGGTTAGTTTATTTGTTGTGCTTATTTTTGAACATTTGAATGAGATCTAAAGAGAGACTTTCTCCATTCAGAACAAAAGTGTAGATAGTTGGTGACAGTTTTCTTTCAAACTGATGGGGCATTTATTTCGATTCACTTGAACTGAGAAGCAGGAGAGCGTTTTTACAGTTTAGGATTTGCTGCTTCAGTGTATGCTGTAACTTCAACGTGACAGTTAGGTAAACCGATGTAGGGCATTCCACAAAGGTGTATCTGAGCTGCGTCTCATCACTCATCTTCTCATGTTGTATGCTGAGTCTGTGAAGTGTTACAGTAGTCAATTCAGAGAATTATAAGCGTGGAACTTTGCATAAAATTGTACTAATTCAAGTTGTCACACTTTGTAAAAGCATATAAAGTTTGGGGAAAGGTTATTAAGTGGAATATAATGAGTATTCCTGGAACGTAGGTGATCACATAGAGTAGAAAGCTGTCTACCTTTGGGAACTATTTAGAGCAATGTCAGTATTTGTGAACAGAGTTATCACATTGAAGTCCGGTTCGTTGGCAGTCTTCTTATAGTTGTCATCGTATCACTTCTCTCTCTTTGTTGTTGTTTCTTATGGATCCTTGTATTGCGAAGAATACCGCCTCTTTCAGTATCTCCTACCAATAAGTTTGTTCTGCCTTTTAGATCATCACCTTTATTTAGTCTTCTTTTCAGTGGAACTGTAGCCGTTTTATGGGTGCTTTTGTATTCAGACTGTGTAGTATTTTATCGGTTTTATTACCTTTAATGGGTTTAACTAATCCAAATGAGTTGAGTTGTCTTGGTTTCAGTATAGCGACCAGGAATCTTGACGAGATATGCATTGGTGTGTTTGTGAAATCCAAAATCGCTCTGATGGGATAGGTCTCTCTATGTAGTATTGTCACACAGTCTATCCAATGTGTAATACGCGATTTTGGCATAATTTCAAACCATATAGGCTTGCCAATCGTTTCCTCTCATTGTCTAACTACTTTTCCCGCTTCATCGTTTTGTTGGTGATAGTTCTCGATAATTTGGTCACTAAAAAATAGGTTCCGGATTGTAGATGTTCATTCTTCCCAGTTTTGTTAAGGATTGCTGGTGTTTTTCTTTCTTATGTGTCAAGAGTTACTATGCAGTTTGGCTTCGTTATTAAATATATAGGAGTAGTGTTTGACATCTAATTAGCAAACAATACTGTTTCATTATGGGTTAGTTTATCACGATTATCGCTGTATTAGGTTGTGTAAAATTCAATTCTTGTAAATGCTTGCATTCTTTTTCAGGATTCCAACACTGGAGCTTTAAATGAAGTTAAACTATTAGAAAATGAACTGTCCGAAATGAAAACAACTGCACAAATGAATACATCGCGATTGTGTCGATGTATCGAAGAATTAGAAGAGGACTTTTGTTGTGTACAGAGTTATAAAGATGAATTAGAGCAGAAGTTAAAGGTACGAGTGAGTAATTTTAAAGTGTGTAGTGTGCGTATCGCGTATATATATATATATATATAAAGTCTCCTTTGAAGTGAAGTCAGCTCTAAGCCGTTTCACTCTGTCCTTAAAGTAGGAGAAGGAGTACAGAGGAGTAGTGTAGCATCACCTTACATTTGACAGGGACGAATCCCATGTCAAACATGCTGTGATTTCTGCTCGAGGTATCCAGAGGAGTGCGTTGTGTCAGTGTCTTTACTTCTAAGGTCCGTATCATGTGAATACACTTTTTTAACAGTAAACAAAAATATGCTCACCTTTCCATCTATGTAGATATAAAAAATAGGTAGAATCTAGATTTACGAGTTGATCACGGATTGATATGAGTTAGAGAACCATTGAAAACCAGCCACAGGGAGTACTGGACAGCTGTTTCACTCTAGTTTGGGAATCATCGGCAGTACGCACCCATTGGGGTTCGAGTCCAGGATCTTCCGGTTACAAGGCAAGCTCGTATACCACTCAGCCACTGGGACGCGATTCAATGGCTCATGATTTCTGGCTGGCTGGCTGGCTGGACTCATGATTTCTAACTTCTATCAATTCGTAATCAACTCGTAAAAGCAAAACTAATCCTTACAAACCAAGTATAGAGAATCTAGATTATTGGATCGACTCAAAGTTGAATTTGCATAGAAATGCACCTTTGAGCACACGCCATTTACATTCTTGGGAACGTCATCACTTAATATTACTGTTTAACACTGTGTGATCTATCGAAATAAAACCTTATCCATAATGGAGTTATACTCTACCACAGTGCCCAAGTTTTATACTTTCTTGAATAATGCGTTCTTAGGATGTTAACTCAGTAGGGATCTTTTGCTTACTGTTTGAAGGATCTCTAAGTTGTTGGT